TCTTCTAGCAGTTATCACTAATGTTCTTTCTTCTGTCTGAAAAAAAAACAGCAAAACTGCTATAAGTGTAATGATTATAATCTCTAACTTTTGCACATCTAATCTGGAAAAGTATCTTTCCCAAATCCTAACTTGTGAATATCTGATTTCTCATGTCATTAAGTTGCATTGACAACCAACCTTGGGCTTGGAAAAAATTTCTAGATATGATCCCAAAAACATAACTCAAGAAATTGATAGTGCAGATTTCATCAAAATTAAAATATTTTGCTTTTAAAAGACAGTGTTAAGAAAATAAAAGATGGCTTTAGATAAGTGTATACACTTTTATTTTTACAGCCAATATATATGTAGATAGATGGATAAACAGTAATTTCCAGGTTTCATATTTTGCTTTCTTAAGTGGCACTTTTTTATGATAAATGAAAACCACCTGACCTACTATAATTCATTACCCAGCTTAGAGTATCACGCATTCTCTTTTAGTCTTTTTATGATATCCTTTTTTGCTAATGTTAGGTGACACTTAAAGAATCCTAGAGTTTGCCTTGTTTCTGATGTGTGACTGGACTCTAGAAAATAGTGTGAATCTATTGCATAATTCTGGCACTATACCAGAAGCCACATCAGCCACAATACCTACAGTGAATGCTAGATCTTCCTTTCCAAACTTGGATAATTCTCCCATATGTATGACCTTTCATATTTACAAATCATAAGAAAAAAGTACTCTTCCCTTCTGAATCACATTCAATTCAACATCTTTGAGCTATCAGGGTTCGAAGAACCATGCTTGACTTCTTCCTCTTTGGTTTTCTTGACCAATTTCTACCACCCACCCATGCACTTATAAAAGAAATAATACGTGAATATTTACTTTATATTCTGGGCATGTCAGGCTTACCATTACCAAGTCAATGGGTTGCTAAACCAGACAACTCAGGGTTACAATTGAAGATTCTGTCACTGGATGTGTGTGTGTGTTTGCACATGTGTGCTTGCTCAGTTGCTCAGTCATGTCCAACTCTTTGAGGCCCCATGGACTGTAGCCTACCAAGCTCCTGTGCCCATGGAATTTTTCAGGTAAGAATACTGAAGCGGGGTGCCATTTCTTACTCCAGGGGATCTTCCAGATCTAGAGATCCAACGCACATCTCCTGTGGCTCCTGCATTGGTGAAACCCCAAAAGAGGAGCACCAAATTTATCATTCTATTTGACTTAATAATAGCTTCAATTGCTTTTTCACAAGCAGTTATTTATGTTGATGAGAGAGAGCTGATTTACAAGTGCATTTTGAAGATCATTTTAATACATGAAGGAAGTTAATTAGTATAAAGTATTTGTGAAAATTTATTTCCTGATGCTGGATTTAGGGTATTTAAATGCTCATATTCATAATTCATAAATCATCATGGATTCAATCAAGTCTGTTAGAATGTGAGAACCAGAAACCTTCATTTCTGTACTTTCTTTGTTACCTGTATTCAAAACTACTGGAAAGTGGTTCAGAGATTTAATCAGAACCAGATGAAAGTTCATATTCTGACATTTGGACTGAAATGCATTGATGAGCAAGTCTTCCTCCTTCAGTTTTCTCATATTCTAAGAAGTGTTTGTTAGGTTAGTCATACCCATCCTTAAACATTTTATTACATAATATAACTTCAAAACATGTAAGACAATATGAAGAAGATCTACACAAAATGTACTCTGTATAGATCTAGAAGACAGATCTATAGATTCTTGAAAATAACTTGATTGTGTCTAGTTGGTATGTGAAAATAATATGATTTATAAGAGATGCTACACTGTTACATCGGCACACTAAGGCAAGTTATTATGAACCAACTGTGTCTCAGGAATTGTTGGAAATGTTGTATAACATTTGAGATGTTATAGTTCATGAAATGTGGAAAGAAGATGGCTTAAAAAGGGCAAAAACAAGTGTTTGCCCCTGCAGCCTCTTTTGATGATGAAATTAGACATTTATTATTATAAATGAGTTCCTACAATGACAAAATGAGAGATATTTAGGGAAGATAAGTATTATAATAATTAATAAAGTTTTGTACTTAAATGTTTGTGAAAGTTTCCTTTTCTGAATTGCGCAACTACACTCAACAGTTCTCATGATGTTGGTTAGAATCATAAGAAAATATCATCACTTATGATGATTTAGGCAGATCAGCCCATCTTCTTTTTGCTTTTCAGGAATGCGTGAAGTCTATAAACCAAGGGAAGAAGAACTGTGGCTTTTGTTGGTATTAATTCTGTAGTATGCTCATTCAGAGTTTCAGCTCTTACCCTGGAGAGGATGACATACAAATCTACAGCATCATCCACAATACCTAGAGTGAACCCTAGTTCTTCCTTTCCAAACTCGGATATTTCTTTCATATGTATAAACTTTCACATGTATGAATCATATGAAAAAGTATCCTTCCCTTCTGATTCACATTCAGTTAATCAGTCTTTGAGCCATACTTGACTTTTTCCTCTTTTGATTTTCTTGACCAATTTCTACCACCCACCCATGCATTTACAAAACAAATAATATGTGAATACATACTTTAAATAAATGCTTTTGTGTTCATGTAAATGGAAGACTTGCAAAAGTAAAAATCAACTCCCAATTGGAGAGGTAGAATTTATTTCTATGACTGAGACTATTTCAGGCCAGTTCAGTGGGGGACATATCTGCAAAATTTGCAGAATATTGGAAAACATAAATAGAAGTAAAATAAAGAGACAGGCTGATATTTCTTAATGATGCAAATTTTCATTGATGCAGCACCATAATCCGAGATATCCCCTTGGGGATTGTCCTCAAGAAATTTCTCTGTAGCTATGAAAGTGAAAGTGAAGTCTCAGTCGTGCCCGACTCTTTGTGACCCCATGGACTGTAGCCTACCAGGCTCTTCTGTCCATGGGAATTTCCAGGCAAGAGTACTGGAATGGGTTGCCATTTCCTTCTCCAGGAGATCTTCCCAACCCAGGGATTGAACCCAGGTCTCCCACATTGCAGGCAGATTCTTTACCAGCTGAGCCACAAGAGAAGCTCAAGAATACTGGAGAGGGTAGCCTGTCCCTTCTCCAGGGGATCTTCCCAACCCAGGAATTGAACTGGGGTCTCCTGCATTGCAGGTGGATTCTTTATCAACTGAGCTATCAGGGAAGCCCAATAACTCAGCAGATGTTCCTACTGTCCTTTGTGGGAGATCCAACTCTTCCATCTAACAGATGTAGGAACTTGGTCAATTTTCTTAACTCTTTGTGCCTCAGTTTCCTAATGTAAACAGGAATTAACCCTACCTATCTCAGAGAATTGTGGTAAGGATTAAATGTGTTAATGTCCATGAAGCATTTAGCAGTGCCTGGACATATTTCTATTAACATAACTCAGGTTTTGTCTCTTTTTAAGTTAATTAATTTTTATACTTTAAAAAAAATTGGAGCATAATTACTTTACAAGCATGTTGTGTTAATTTCTACTATATAACAACTACAAACCAAACACAAAAGCATCCCAATGAGTTTCTGCCAATTTAAGGGACTCTTGCTCAGTGGTATTCTGACCTTCCCCATGACACGTGTCTATCTTTTATTTTTTATTTTTTTCCATTTATTTTTATTAGTTGGAGGCTAATTACTTTACATCATTGCAGTGGTTTTTGTCATACATTGAAATGAATTAGCCATGGATTTACATGTATTCCCCATCCCGGTCCTCCCTCCCACCTCCCTCTCCACCCGATCCCTCTGGGTCTTCCCAGTGCACCAGGCCTGAGCACTTGTCTCATGCACCCCTATCTTTTATTAAGATACATTAAGAATGGTATTAGGTTATTATTGTAACTTTTATACCTATATTCATAATTCTTATTGTTATAGAGGTAGATAGATTTATCATATTTAAATCAAAGCCATCTGTTCACCAAGAGAATCGTTTGTTAAATGTGTGCCTCTTCAGATATATTTGAGAAAATTAACAATGTAATAAAGGCAAAGAATTTCAGAGGATATTAAGGGTGCAGGTAGGAAAAAAATGCATTTAAATTGGGAATGCAAGTTCTTCATATTTGAAAGAATATCATTCATCCTACAAATAATCAAACCCTTATCATGATGAGAACACAACACTTAACAAGGCAACTCAGTCATTACTTTTTTCCTATGCTGAAACAAAATCAAAATTTTAACTAGTTCCACTTTTTTGCACATTATTCACGATGGATAAGCACACAGCACATCAACATATCAGCTCTCCAATTATTTGAATATGAACATCAGGTCTCTGCTTCTCTAAGTAAAATTTCCTGGGAGCTTTCACAGCAGAGATGTTAGAAGTTTAACTGCAACCAGACCTGAGTTTTAATCTCAGATCAGTTATTTGCTAGCTACATGATCAAGTTACTAAAACTCCCCATGCTTTTTATGTCTTCTTTCACTTAATAAGGTTGTTTCTGAGACTTAAATTTAAAAATAAAAGAAATTAGCATAACACTTGCAAATATTTAGTCAAATCTGTTATTTTCACTGAAGCATTTTCATATGGAATGATTTAAAGTCACTTTACATATTTATAATCTTCCTTTAAAAATACTTAGTTTATTAATGTTGTTTTTTAAATTACACTTGCTAGAAGGACACATAACGAGATAATAAAATCATTGCTTATCCTTTATTAAATAGCTTCTCAGTTTGACATCAGTGCTGACACTTTGGGGACCTGTATTCTATGTTGAAGTCCAACATTCTAACACAGATGAGGAAAACCTCGGTGGTGACTGAGTTTATTCTGCTGGGCATCCCGCACACAGATGACCTGGAGACCATGCTCTTTGTCCTGTTTCTGTCCTTCTACATCTTCACCCTTATGGGGAACCTGCTCATCCTACTGGCGATTGTCTCCTCCGCTCGGCTGCACACTCCCATGTACTTCTTCCTGTGTAAACTGTCTGTGTGTGAGATATTTTTTCCCTCTGTGAGTTCCCCCAAGATGCTTTTCTACCTCTCAGGGAACAGCCGAGCCATCTCCTACGCAGGCTGCGTGTCCCAGCTCTTCTTCTACCACTTCCTGGGTTGTACCGAATGTTTCCTGTACACGGTAATGGCCTATGACCGCTTTGTTGCCATATGTTACCCTCTGCGCTACACAATAATCATGAGTCACAGAGTGTGTGCCATCCTGGCCATGGGCACCTCGTTTTTTGGATGTATTCGGACCACCTTTCTAACTACACTCACCTTCCAGTTGCCCTACTGTGGCCCCAATGAGGTGGACTATTACTTCTGCAATATCCCAGGGATGCTGAAGTTGGCTTGTGCAGACACCTCGGCACTAGAGATGGTGGGGTTCATCAGTGTGGGTCTCATGCCCCTCAGCTGCTTCCTTCTCATCCTCACTTCCTACAGCTGCATCGTTTGCTCCATTCTTCAAATCCAATCTACCGAAGGCCAACGGCGTGCCTTCTCCACCTGCAGCGCCCACCTCACTGCCATCCTCCTCTCCTTTATGCCAGTGGTTCTCATCTACCTGCAGCCCACCCCTAACCCCTGGCTTAATGCAACTGTTAGGTCCTGAATAACCTTGTCACCCCCGTGCTAAACCCCTTGATCTACAGCTTGAGAAATAAGGAGTGAAATATTCTCTGAGGAAGGTGCTAGAGGAGATGGCCCTCATTCATGAGAAGTGATAGAGGTGACTCTGCATTACTTGTGAGAGGAATTTGCACAGATATTATCTCTGTTCCCTTTTACTACAGATGAAGAAGCTAAGATTAAAAGATATGAAGTGAATTGCTCCAGGTCGCTAATAAATTACCCTACTCAGGAGGGATAATAGGATATCCTACTGCTCCCATTTGGCAATAAAAAATCTAGGCCTTCTGTCCCTCACTCTTTGTCTCCCTCTCTTCCTAATCCTCTCCTGTTCCCTTCTCCCTTACCCTAGCACTTTCTCATCTTGGCTGACATGATTATATGATTAACCTCTCAAATGCCTGCATCAGATAAGCCCTCATTTGATGGTCTAGGGATTGTAGAAAAATGGGAAGGTTTCAACCATATGGCTTCCAGTGGTACTCTGTGACCTCTGAAATGAAAAGAAATTGTGTAAAGAAAAAAGACCTCTGGGTGAGACCTCAGGACCTTTGTCTCCTAATGACTGAATCATAGGTATCAATGTACTGTATCACCCACAAAGTCTGCCTATTGGTCTTCAACCTGAAAAAAAGCCTTGACTAGGATTTGAAGCTGTACATGAAAGAGAATGTGAAGAAGGTAGCCAGGGGTGTCTGTGAAGCGGTGACTAGCTCTATTGCTTTTCAGTATTCACAATTTTAGTTTGTCTCTATAATCCTAAGCACAACCAGCAGTCCATGCAAAATCTGAACTGCCATTGGTCTATGGTTTTGGATACTTTGCTTACCAGAAAGCTGTAACTTTAGTACTGTCCCCTAACTTTCCTTTTTCTTTAGTCTAATGAGCTAAGCATGAGATATGTGCTATTCAATCCAGGCAGAGATTTGAAGGAAAGTGAAGGGGAAGATGAGAAGAGAAGAGGGTGATGGGAAGAGAAAGGAGTGACTGGAAGAGAAGAGAGTGATTGGTGATTGGAACAGAAGGGGATAATGTGAAGAGAAAGGCATGATGGGAAGAGAAAGGGGTGATGAGAAGAGAAGAAGGAGAGGTAGAGGCAACTCAGCTCTGCTTTTTTTTATTTTCAGGATCAGAGTTCAGTCAGGGATTCTCCCACACTTGAACCAGTCACAACATTGTGTTTAAAAATTCATATCAGGGTGATGAGATGATTCATGTTTTTAAAGGGGAGAACATTTCTCCTGCTCATTTCTCTTAAACCCTGTGCCTTTTATTCTCTCTAACAGAAATGCTCCTTCCAGAGTCTTTAGCTTCTCAATTGTGCTGTGTTAGCTGCTCAGTCGTGTCTGACTCTTTGTGACTCCCATGGACTGTACCCAGCCAGGCTCCTCTGTCCATGGAATTCTCCAGACAAGAATACTGGAATGGGTAGTCATTGCCTTCTCCAGGGGATCTTCCTGACCCAGGGATTGAACCTGTGTCTCCTACACCACAGGCAGATTCTTTACCATCTGAGCCATCAGGGAACCCACTAAAGACCCAGTTAAAATATTTTCTGTGTGAAACTTTCTTTATGCTAAGCAAGTCAGCCTCTCATTTCCCTGTGTTTTAAATCAGACTTAAAAAAAACATCCCTCCATTGTGCTAGGATAAGTTTTAGCAAAGCCATTTTTGACACTGAAAGTAAAGTAGGTCCAGGGAAGGTAATGAGAAAACAAGAGTTAGTTGCCGACTGACTAAATAAAATCAACAGTTCATTGGAGAAATTCTGTTGAAGAAATTCTGAGTCCCAGATGAGTTTTTTATTTAGTTAAGGAAGCAGAACCTCAGTAACATATCTGTCAGTTATTTCTTTTATTTAGTTGTTTATTTTTTGGCTGTGCTGGGTCTTCGTTGCTGCATGGGCTTTTCTCTTGTTGTCGTGAGTATGGCTTACTCTCCAGTTGGGATGTGTGGGCCTCTGGTGGTGACTTCTCTTCTTGTGGGCTTAGTTGCTCCATGGTATGTGGTATCTTCCTGGATTAGGGATCAAACCCATGGCTCCTGCACTGGCAGGTGGATTCTTAACACTGGATCACCAGGGAAGCCCCTGTCAGTTATTTCTAATCTATCCAGTATCTCGAGAGTCAAAAGGGCAGAAACATCTTCTGGCTCTTGGGATGAAGATGGAATGGTAGTCGTAGCCCTTGCCCTAAGTGTTTTTACCAAACAGAGGAAACTTGGCAGCAATCATGTTTTCTTCTCATTCAGTAATTATTTTTGGATACCACATTCCTACCTTGTTTTCCTAGATGAGATGGTTTGCTTTCATTGCCAACTGGAACTCTTCCCAGAGCTGGACTTCTCTCTTCTGTTTCAGGACTTTAAGGAAATAGAGTCCTGATTCTTTTCTCCAGACTCCATTGTTTTCCATTAATTTGACTCTGTGCCTTGATCATACTTAATTACATCTGTGGAGCCAAACTCTTCTAACTCTTTTGCCACCTCTCATCTCAGACATCCATTTGGAAGCTATCAGCTATCGCTGTCATTGATTACCTAACTGTTTTAAATGTCTTTGGTTGCTTAGTCCAAGGATTATCTAAAATACCAGCTCCAAACGAATAGATTACTCTTGGCCTTTCACTAAAGTTTCCTACCTACTTGTAGCCCTTGTTCTGGTTACAACAGAAATATTTAACACAGCTTGTTAAGTGAGGCATGTTAAACTCTAAAAGTACAATGCGAGGCAGATTTATATCATGACTCAGTAAAACCAGTTCTATTTAGAACCAGTTCTATAAAGAAAAAGAACAAAATAAGTTGTATTGCTTAGTTTCTGACTATGTGCCAAGAAGTTCTCTTTTAAAATTCCATATAACATTATTAACTGTTTATATTAACACCTCAAAATATGTATTATCATTCACATTTTTCCAGTTGTGGGAACTGAACTCCAGAATGGGTAAATAACATCATTAAAATCATACTGAATCAGAGGAACTGTTAACTGGAGGTGTGCATGTGTTTTTAATAGCTCAGACATGTCCTACTCTTTGTGACCCCATGGGCCATAAGAATACTGGAGTAGGGTGCCATTTCCCTCTACAGGTAATCTTCCCAACCCAAGGACTGAACCCAGGTCTCCAGCATTGCAAGCAGATTCTTTAATGTCCGAGACACCAGGGAAAGTAGGATATATTTTACTGCAAATGCAAGATATTTTGTGAATTATATATGAAATACTAGTGTATAAGTAAAATCATGATGAAACAGAAAGAAGTACGTAAACTTTGTCTATGATTTTTAATTTGTGTAGTTCTGTGAGAACAAGCTACTTGAGAGTTTTCAAAGTGAGTAGACAACATAGATATCAAAATAAAACACAGAGTTACTTGCCATTTACATCAAGGACCTAGAATATATATATAGATATAGATATATACAATAAAATACATATACAATATTTAACAATTTGATAATTTTAAAAACAAGTAACATTTTCAAGTACTTACCATCTACCAGCCAATAAATTAAATCAGTCATGTCTGCCTCTTTGTAATCCAATGGAGTGCAGCATGACAGGCTTCCCAATTCATCACCAACTCCTAGAGATATCTCAAACTCATATCCATTGAGTTGGTGATGCCATCCAACTATCTCATCCTTGTCATCCCATTCTCCTCCTGCCTTCAACTTTCCCAGCATCAGGGTCTTTTCAAATGAGTCAGTTCTTCCCATCAGGTGACCAAAGTATTGGAGCTTCAGCTTCAACATCAGTCCTTCCAATGAATATGCAAGACTAATTCCCTTTAGGATGGGCTGGTTGGATCTCCTTGCAGTCCAAGGGACTCTCAAGAGTCCTCTCAACAACACATTTCAAAAGCATCAATAATTTTGCATTCAGCTTTCTTTATTGTCCAACTCTCATATCCACACATGACTCCTGGAAAAACCATAGCTTTGACTGTACAGACCTTTGTTGTATGTATATTAAATAAATATAATAATAATTATATATTATTAAATATATTAGTTTTAGTAATATTAAATATATTAAAAATAAATATATTTAATATATTAAATACTCCACTCTATTTTTCTCTTTTAATTCTTACAAATACTTTGTAGAGTGAGAACTGTTACTATTCACCATTTAAATGGTTAGGGAATCAACATTTAAGGCCGTAGTTTTAAGAAAGAACTTAGCAGTGCTCAAAGTTAGGAAGTGTAAAACTAGTTATCATACACAGGTATGTCTAATAATAATATTGACAACATTCTGTAGTGTTCCTTACACTATAGTGGATTTTACATAAGCTGCATAGGAAATCTATCACCTTCCTTTTCTACTGTTTCTTTGAATATTAAAGGAGGTCAGGAGAGAACAAGATGGCAGAAGAGTAGGTGGATGTGGAGTACATCACTCTCCATGGATACATCAGCAAAACACCTTCAGACACAGAAGTTCATGCAAAACACCATCTGAGAGTGGACAGGAGTACCTGACCAGCTGACAAATATATTTAGAACCATGCAAAACTCAGTAGAATGAAGGAACTAGGGGGAAAAACAGGAGTATTAATACAACTCCAGGGCAACCTCAGGAGCAAACCCCAGTGGATGACCCACATGCACAGGTGGAAATAAAACCACAATTGAAACCCATGGGCAGTGTGGCTAATGAAGATGACCCAGAACCTTCCCACCAGCAGTATAAGCTGCAGATTAAATGCACATGATCAACTAGGCAGACTCCATGTGTGTGGAATATATAAAAGGACATTGAGAGCTCCCACAAAAGAAAAAACACTAGTTCTGATAATTGTGGACACTGGAGGCAAGAACACATAGGAGTAGGACCAGATTAGAATCTGAGCTGCCCCCACAGCAGATCCAGAGTTCAGTACAGTGTTGGAGGGCATCCTAGGGATGTGAGGTAGTCTGTGACTCCCAGCAAGGGAAAGGACCCTGACAGCAGTAACACAAGAAAAACATTATGCT